TATTGCAGGTAATATCACTTGTGCACTTGTGGCCCTGTTCACGCCCGCCCTCAAAACACACCATCCTATGGTTATGGCCCCAACGCCCTCTTCAGACCTGCCAAGTACGACTTCAACTACGCCGTCAACGACCCACCATCTGGCAACGACTTCGGTCATCAGGAGGCCCGAGATGGCCCTAACACTCAGGGTTCCTACTACGTCCTCTTTCCGACGGTCGTTCCAGAAGGTCCTACACCGTCAACGGAGACTCCGGTTACGTTGCCGATGTCACCTACGAGGGCGAGGCCCAGTACGCAACGTCCTTATACACCCGCCTCGCAGTCTTTAAATGCGGATTGTTTTGGTACTCACATTACATTACCTCTGTAAATATAGTTTAATAAACTAGCACGTCGATGACGTTCTTTAATATCTTTATAAGAAGCGCGTAGAAATGTGAATATCAGTAAGTCTGTGTGATGTGCTTTGCATTAGTATAGAATACCCGACTCAACATTTAATGGCTATAAGAACGAGGCTATACACTTCCAGGCTTCAACAAGACTTCTAGCCTATGGACATGCCATGAATGTAAAGAAACAGCACCTTAACATATAACGCATATAATGGGATTAGACATATAGTACAATCGGAATACAGTGTACCCTTTTTAAGTTTGAAAAGGTAATTGGACATACTAGAGTCTTAAATATACTCAAATTTGAAAAGGTAATTGGACATACTAAGAGTCTCAAAACTATTTATTATTTTTGCAGTAACAAAAGAAATTGTAAACGTTAAAGGGGTTTCCACTGCATAATACCAGCAAATCAAATGCTTTTCGTAGGGCATGTGACTAGAACACTCGGTGATACACAACCTGATTGCTTTGCATTTTGTATGTGAAGTATTTGATATTGCATGTCTCTGACAGAAAATTCATTATGATTAAAATTGCCATTTACACGCCAAAACTTGTCTAAATCTTCGTTCCGTGATAAAACTAAAATTAAATATTATTTTACATATTTCTAATGTAGAAGTTCGTGGTCCACATAAACAAGGTCTACATATATAGAAAGATAGTATAATTCTAAAATACGCCTTTAAGTACTGTGTCGCATGACTGTAAAATGCTGCATACCCTTATTAGGAGTCGCACATATAGACCAAAGACGTTTATACTTGTCTCCCCCATATACATTGACAATTATATTGGGGGAAGATTGTGCCGTAGAAAGTCTTATTAGTTTCCTAAGGGAGTCATAACATTCATACAATAATTTCATAGTTTTAAAACATATTTAAGCTTTGATTTTTTTATATATTCGATAAATCTTTAAACTTTTAAAATATCTAAACATTTTAATACCACAAGGTATTTACCGCTATTGTAGAAGTCCGGTCGTTTCCAGATGTTTTGCGGTGTTACTAAGGACGTTCTTGGTGGGTAAACAAATTGTGTGAGGAAATTAATCATAATGGCATTTGAACAAGCAAAAACAGCAACCGGAAGAGTGGCTATCATATTTCTTCCAACTTGTGTTAAAGAGTTACAAACAGTAACAGTGCAGTTTGCAGAAGACTGAATATATTATAGAACTGGGCTTATTTGCTTTCCGCTGTCGACCATCGATTTGCTTCCTGGTACCGCCTACAAATATTGTTAACGGTGTTAACAAAAGATGCATGAATATTTATGTACATTGTGGCACATTGCCGTTATTCAGTGGACTTACCTATCTTTCTGTGTGCTTGTTTATATATTTATATGTAGATGCAAATATATATGTGTATATATATGCGTGTGTGTTTATACGTGTATATGAATATATTCCATACACTTACATATATGTATAAATGAATATATTGCACATACACACGTGCATACATACATACATATATACTGATAAATGTGTGTTACAGGTACATGCGTGAGTCTAATGAAATAAGATTTCGTAACAGAATGTGGCTTTAAATTATGAAGCAGCAACAGTGTTTACAAATATCAAGGTGACTGGTAATACACTCCTCCGCCCGCAACACTCTTCATGCTCATCATTAGGGAGGAGCTTTACTTGCTCATACTATATAAACAGATGGAAACATTCTCCCTGCATCAGATATTCTATCGTCACACACCATGGCATTTAAGGTGAGATGCAAGAGAACAGATTCTCTTGTCAAGAATGTGTCTTTTGCTTATGGTTTAGTCTTCTATTCACAAACTTTTTCTTTCTAAATCACGTTTGTTTACTTTCTGTTTCCCGATATTACAGGTAATTGCACTCGCCGCCCTTGTGGCCGTTGCCCTCGCCCGCCCTCAGAACGGCTATGGCGTCCCAACGCCCTCTTCAGCACCTGCCAAGTACGACTTCAACTACGCCGTCAACGACCCACCATCTGGCAACGACTTCGGTCATCAGGAGGCCAGAGATGGCCCTAACACTCAGGGTTCCTACTACGTCCTCCTTCCCGACGGTCGTCTCCAGAAGGTCACATACACCGTCAACGGCGATTCTGGTTACGTAGCCGATGTCACCTACGAGGGTGAGGCCTCCACACCACGCCCCTATACACCCGCCCTCAGTATGGTTAAATGCAGTGTTTTTTTTTATGATTCCTGTATGTATAACTTAATAAACTAGTACATCGATCACGTTTTTTTCAATATTTTGCGTGAATGACGTAAACATGTGAATATTTTTCCCCGTTTAGTATAAAGGACAACACTCACTCGCGAGACTTTCCTACAGTTCACATTTTTTAGGGGACGATGGACATAGCCATATTCCGACATGGTCTAATGTAAAGTACCTTCATTGATATTATAATATATATAATGGTACAATTTTTGTTGCCCTCGCCCGCCTTCAGAACGGCTTTGGCATCGCAGTGCCCTCATTACACCTGCTACCTATAACTACGCCGTCAATGACCCATCATCTGGTAACGATTACGGCCCGAGATGGTCCTAACACTCAGGATTCTTACTTCGTCCTCCTTCCCGACGGGCGTCTCCAAATACCCTGGAACACACGCCCCTATACACCCGCCCCTCAGGATGCTTAAATGCAGTATAATCTTGTATAGATAAATTAATATACTAGTACATCGATGACGTTCTTTAATCCTATCACATGAACAAGGTAAATATGTGAAAATTGTTTGTTTCACTAAAAATGTAAGAAGACGCACACTTCACAGACTTCAACAAGACCTCTCGCAACAGAATGTTATAACAGGCACAGCACGTTATATAGTAAATATAATAAGATTAGGTACATAGCACAGTTGAAACACAGTCTATCCTAAGTTTGAAAAGGTAGCTGAATTTAGTAGCTTTCAAACCTAAGCATTGTTCCAGTGACGGATTGATGAAAAAAAAAAAAAAAAAAGGAAACGGGTATTCCAATGCAGCAAAACGAACGCGTTTCGTAGATACTATGGCTGGAACATCCGTTACACACGAGTTGATTGTCTTCCTTTTCTTAACTTTTGAAAGTAAATATCACATGCCATCATAACATGTTACTGTACATAAATTAATAAAACAACTAGATTTAACTAGAAATTAAGTTCTGTTTGTATGTTAAACTTTTTGTTTATTCAATAAATATAAAATATATCTATAATCTAATGCTGAAGAAATCTACGATTCACACAAGCAAAATCGTCTAGGTATAGGAATAGTTGTGCGGCTTCTATTTAGTTGTATAGTCCTAAAAGAAACCTGTAACGCGGTTCGTACTCTATTTTTGGTATCAAAATTCCATGAGTTTTAAATGATTCTCCAGAGAGGATTTTGACATTTTCCCGCAACCTTTATGTTTTCCCTGATTTTTATGCCACGATGTATAATTGAATATATATATAAATTTATATATCTATATTATATATATATATATATATATATATATATATATATATATATATATATATATATATATATATATATATATATATATGGTTACAGAAAAGGTACCATACATAAGTATATTGTGTCCTTGTACTAAGAAATAATATAAACTCGATATAAGAGATGTATGAAACCATTTATTCTTCAGTATGACTCATGATTTTTCTTCTTTTTAAGACAAATAGGCTCTCTCCCCATTTTATACCTTCTGGGTTAATAATAATAATAATAATAATAATAAATAGATCGACTTTTAATGCCATGCCTCGCCAGGCTCATGCCGTCATGGTTGCCAATGTTAAAATCAAAATCTACGTCGACTATGAGTCAAAGCATCTACTGATAATACTCATAGACACTGCTATTTTGATAGATCTTACATTTACCGCTGTAATGATGACAGTCTAACATTATAATCCTGTTAGGTAAAAAAAAAAAAAAAAAAAAAAAAAAAATCACCTTTCGCTGCACTTCCCAGGCATGACGTCGCACCGAAGATCTCTTCCCTCGCATGATCTTGGCCCTTGTGGAAAATGCTATCGCTCACGTGCACGAGAGACGTTGTGGAAAAACCTTAATTCTAGTATGAGTACTATGGCAGGGCTGAGGACAGATCTTAGCCATGTCAGACTTCACTTCGTTAGATTCGTTATAATCTAATGTTAAGAGTAATTAATTAGCAGGTTTGAGGCGATCACAGGTCGTAAACCGAGCGACCAGTTTACCAGAAGTCTGAACTCTTTTCAGATGTTTAACGGCATAACTAGAGTCTTTCTTGGAGGTTAAGGAAATGAACATGAAAGCAAAGTAATGATCATGACTTTCTGATTGAACGAAAACCGCAACCGGAAGAGGAACTAATATATTGTATTCACATATGTACGCGTGAGTTTGCGTGCACGCGCGTGCGTGCGTACGTGCGTGTGTAATGAAAATAAGATTTCTTAGAATGTGGATCTACATTATGAGCAGTAATATGCCTACAAATATCAAGGTGAGACAACGCCCACAACACTTTTCATGCTCATCATTAGGGAGGAGCTTTACTTGCTTACACTATATAAACAGATGGAAACATCTCACTGCATCAGATATTCTATCGACACACACCATGGCATTTAAGGTGACATGCAAGAGAACAGATTCTCTTGTCATGTCTTTTGCTTGTGATTTAGCCTTATATCATATTCAGAAACTTTTTCTTTCTAAATAACGTTTATTTACTTTCTGTTTCCCGATATTACAGGTAATTGCACTCGCCGCTCTTGTGGCCGTTGCCCTCGCCCGCCCTCAGAACGGCTATGGCGTCCCAACGCCCTCTTCAGCACCTGCCAAGTACGACTTCAACTACGCCGTCAACGACCCTCCATCTGGCAACGACTTCGGTCATCAGGAGGCCCGAGATGGCCCTAACACTCAGGGTTCCTACTACGTCCTCCTTCCCGACGGTCGTCTGCAGAAGGTCGCCTACACCGTCAACGGCGATTCTGGTTACGTAGCCGATGTCACCTACGAGGGTGAGGCCTCCACACCACGACCCTATACACCCGCCCCCTATACACCTGCCCCCTATACACCCGCCCCCTATACACCTGCCCCCTATACACCCGCCCCCTATACACCCGCCCCTATACACCCGCCCCCTATACACCCGCCCCCTATACACCGCCCCCTATACACCCGCCCCTATACACCCGCCCCCTATACACCCACCCCTCACTACGCTTAAATGCAGTGATTTTATAACCTCTGTCTATATATATAGTCTAATAAACCTGAACATCGATGATCTTTTTAATATCTTAGTATGAATTACGTGTTTTTTTTATCAAGCAGCGAGCTCTAAGGACAACACTAAATATGTAAACGAGACTTTCTAGAGATTGCAAGCTTTAACAGGACCTCTCTTTTTGGGCACGATGGGCATAACCATATTTCGACATGGTGTAATTGTAAAGGTACATGTTTTGGCATTCCAAATTTATATTGGTACAGTTAAGAGAGTTTCTTATACACATAAGCAAAAAACACAAAAGCTTCCATTTAAATTTCTCCTGTTTCATTTGTAAAGTACTTTGATTTCGCTCCCTGCAGATACATGTCTTTATTTGGTAAGACATTTAGTAGAAATGAATATATTCACATAATGGAGTTTGTTCAAGTTTTGATTTTATGATTAGTATAAACACTGTTCGAATCTTTTTACTAAGCCATAATTTAATACATAAATCTGTGACAAGAACATCATCTTAGTAAACATCTGCCCCTCAACATGTTAAAATACGGATTGCTTTAGTAACACATAATCTGTATATATAGTTAATCTGGCATATCGATGATCTTCTTTGATATCGTTACACAAAGGACAAAGAAATATGAATATCAGTATTTTTATGTGACGTTTATCTATTGGTATCGAACACCGAGCTCTAAAAGCAACACACTATCTATAGAAGCCTTTCGTACACTTCACAAACTTCATCAAGTCCTCTCGCCTCAGACTGCTATGGCGTGAATGTGAAGGCACAGTACGTTATCGTGAATATAACAGGATTAGGTATATAACATGATCGAAACACGTGCCTTTCTCAAGATTGAAAAAAGTAACTGAACATGGTAGCTTTGAAAACTAAGCAGTTCTTTTTTTTTTTTTTTAATAACGAAATAAATTTTAAACAGTATAGGGTTTTCCATTGCACATTTTTTAGCAAAACTACCCGTTTCGTAGTCTGTAGGTGGAACACTCATTTATACATAATCTGATTCCCTTTATTTTTTCTTAGTTTATGAAGTATTTGATATCGCATGCCATCGACACATGTTACTGTTTGACAGCAGAGTATACTGAAACTTGTGTCAAAATCTTGATTGTATGATTAAAAGGAAAGAAAAAATTTGTGACGGCCATAATTTTATAAACATGAAATTGTCTAGGTACAGGAATCGGTACCCGGCTTCTATAAAGGTTGTATAGTCCTAAAAGAAGCCTGTACGACCCAGTACTTACAGGGAATAAAAGAATAGTCTTTCAAGAAATCTAAACTCCCTTCTAAATATTTGACGGTGTAACTTGAACCATTTTAGGAGGATAAACAACTATTTGAGAGCAAAGTTATGATAATAGCTTTCTGAAGGAGACTTGACAACGATCGGGAGAGTGCAATCGTATTTTTCGCAACTTTCAGGGTCAAAGACTAAATCTGGTTCGCCGAAGAAGAGGAAATGTATTACAGAGAAGAACTAGAACACGGGGCAATAGCCTCGTTTTGGTTTCCACGATCTGCCATCGATGTTTCTGTGTACGAAAAAAAAACGATATACAGTTCTTCAAATGCATCTATTCCTTCAATTCAGTGGACTTGCCTATCTGTGTGCATGTATGTGAATAGATATACATGTGTATGAATATATATCAATATATTATTGACGAATACACAGTTGTTGTTTTTGTTACTTTTGCTAGTCAGCTATAGTGTGGCATGGCTTGCCCGGGTTACGCTTATGCTACCCGGAAGAGGAAAGGAATACACGTACATAGATCTTATATTCATACATATACATGCGTGAAAATAAGATTTCCTCAAGGTGACTGGTTATACACCACTCCGCCCACAACACCTTTCATGCTCATCATTAGGGAGGAGCTCTACTTGCTTACAGTATATAAACAGATGGAAACATTCTCCTGCATCAGATATTCAGTTAACACACACCATGGCATTTAAGGTGAGATACAAGAGGACAGAATTGCTTGTCAAAAATGTTTCTTTTCCTTGTGCTTTAATCGTGTGTCACATTCATAACTTTTATTATTATCATTATTTTGTTTATTTTGTAACATTCCTGATATTACAGGTAATTGCACTCGCCGCTCTTGTGGCCGTTGCCCTCGCCCGCCCTCAGAACGGCTATGGCGTCCCAACGCCCTCTTCAGCACCTGCCAAGTACGACTTCAACTACGCCGTCAACGACCCTCCATCTGGCAACGACTTCGGACATCAGGAGGCCCGCGATGGCCCTAACACTCAGGGTTCCTACTACGTCCTCCTTCCCGACGGTCGTCTCCAGAAGGTCGCCTACACCGTCAACGGCGACTCTGGTTACGTGGCCGATGTCACCTACGAGGGTGAGGCCTCCACACCACGCCCCTATACACCCGCCCCTCACTATGCTTAAATGCAGTGTTTCAGTAACTTCTGTATATATAAATGAATAAACTTGTACATTGATGACGTTCTTCATTATCATTGAATGAATAATGTAAACGTGATGTGTGTGTGTGTGTGTGTGTGTGTGTGTGTGTGTTATTTAGTATCAAGCAGAGATCTCTCGAAACGACACACGCTAGATATATAAATGAGAATTTCCTACAGTCCATAGGCTCCAGCAGGAATTTTTCGTCTCCGGTGTACGATGGGTATTACCATATATCGACATAGTATGGTTGTAAGGGCACCTCCATTGACATGTAAATATAATGACATGTAAATTAAATTCTTGACCTACAGTTTTTGAAAATTAAACATCCAGTGTCCCTCCACATCACGCCCTTGAGACAATTATCCGTCAATATGCCTAGATACGAATCGTTTTAATAATCACATTGCATAATCTCGGTGTATATATAATTTGATAAAGAACCACATTGATGATGTTCTTTAATATCTTAATATAAGTGACGTACAAATGTTAATGTCAGTATGTTTGTGTGATGTGTTTTGCCCTAGTGTTGAAAACCGAGCTCCAAAAACATTTGATATATAAAAGAGACATTAGTTCACTTTACAGGCTTAAACAAGGCCTCTCGTATCAGAATGTCATGTCAAATGTAAGGGCATAGCACGTTAATGAATGTAATAGGACTAGTTGAAACACAATGTAGCCTTTTTAAGTTTGATAAGGTTATTGAACATAGTAGAAAACTAAGCAATGTTCTGTTTCAAGCAATGAAATAAATGGTAAATAGTAAAGGGGTTTTCCACTGAACATTACCAGCAATACGAACGCCTTCCGTAGAGCAGGTCATGTATACACTTGTTATACATGACCTGCTTGACTTTTTGTGTGTGTTTAACGTATCTTAAATCACATACCGTCGACACATGTTACTGTTTGACAAAAAAAATAAATAAATAAATAAATAAAAATAAAATAAATAAATAAATAAAAATCTTAGAAGTAGACAAGCATTATTTCTAAAGTGAAACATTCATCTAAATCTTCACTTTTATGTTCATTTTCTTTTTTTCTTCTTCTTTTTCCCTTTCATATAGCTATACTGTACAGAAAATACAATATTCAAACAAGCAACACTGTATAGAAAGGGGCGTGCGGCTTCTTGCAAGGTTGAACAAGCCTAAAATAATTTTGTAAGTACTGTGTCGTATTTACCAAGAGCTGAATAATCTTAAGTCGTTGCCAGATATTTAAACGGTGTGACTGTAGTTTCTACGAAGGGAAACCAATGCCCAAAAGTTAAAGGCTTTCTGAATGAGCAAAAATGGTAATCGGAGAATGACAATTACATTTCGCGCAACTCGTGTCAGGGTCCAAGACAGTAAATCAGTGGTATGCGGGAGAAGTAATGATTAATAAAACTGCAGTGGAAGACAGAGCTTTAAAGTCCTCTTCTTTTTTTGTGATCGGTCATTAAAATGCTTCTTGTGTACTGCCTATGAAAGTTACTACCTATGATAATGCTTATATACTAATAGTGTTAATGAATATATTTCAAATGGACACCTTTCATATTGTGTGCATGTATGATTATAAATATATAAATATAAACATTTATTCCACTTTCATACATACACGTGTGTGTGTGTGTGTGTCTAATGAAAATGAGGTTTCGTGGAATTTGTCTAATTATGAGGCAGCAATAGTGCTTACAAGTATCAAGGTGACCGGTAATGCACAACTCCGCCCACAACACTCTTCATGCTCATCATTAGGAGGAGCTCTACTTGCTTACACTATATAAACAGACGGAAACATTCTCCCTGCATCAGATATTCTATCGTCACTCACCATGGCATTTAAGGCGAGATGCAAGAAGACAGATTCTCGTCAAGAATCCGTCATTTGCTTACGGTTTTGCCTTGTATAATAGTCACAGTTTTGTCTTTTCCTTGTGTACATTACAATAGTGTACTTATTACAATCCCGATATTAGGTAATGCACTCGCCGCCCTTGTGGCCGTTGCCCTCGCCCGCCCTCAGAACGGCTATGGCGTCCCAACGCCCTCTTCAGCACCTGCCAAGTACGACTTCAACTACGCCGTCAACGACCCACCATCTGGCAACGACTTCGGTCATCAGGAGGCCCGAGATGGCCCTAACACTCAGGGTTCCTACTACGTCCTCCTTCCCGACGGTCGTCTGCAGAAGGTCGCCTACACCGTCAACGGCGATTCTGGTTACGTGGCCGATGTCACCTACGAGGGTGAGGCCTCCACACCACGACCCTCAGTATGGTTAAATGCAGGATTTATGACCTCTGTATATATAGTTTAATAAACTTGTACATCGATACGTTTTTTTATATATAGGCATTTGTGTGAACGACGTAATGACTTTTTCCATTTAGTATCAAGCAGGGAGCTCTAAAAACATTAAACTTATAAATGAGATTTTCCTACAGTTCACAGGCTTTAATAGGACCCTGCTTTTTGGGGGGACGACGGGCATAACCATATTCTGACATAGTGTCAATGTAAATGTATACCCGTTGATATACAATACATATAGTGTGACTAAAAAGAAAGTAAAATTCATTTGCCTACATAGCCTGTGAAAACCAATAAGAAGTTTTCGAGTATATATTATTTTCAGTTATTACTTTCCCTGAACTTATAGCTGAAACCCTTTCTCTTGCATACTTTTTCCTTTCAAATTCATGATATAATTCAAAACAAATCCGAGGTTATGACTTACATCGCCTTTGTGAGACTGTTCACATAAAACAATCCTTTTCTCAAATCTCCAAATCAGTGATCCTTAACATCCGAACTATCTATATTTAGGCGGAGAGGAAAATATATATACATACATATGCAATATGCTATGGAGACATAGCTACGCGTGTGTGTGTGTTTAACCTGAATACTCGCAGTCTAGCAAACTGGCCTACATTTCTTCACGACCCACGTGAAGGGGAGTCGTGAAGCCTCCCAAGAAGTCTGCGGGATGGGCCTGTTCCTCGTCACCAGTTTCTAAGATGTCTTCGTCGCACCGTCCTGCTGTCTTAGTCTTCACCAGATGCGTGACGGTGCAAGTGACGTCACAACTGAAGGCTTTCTGAGAGAGAAAATGACAATTAAAGGAATACCTCTCATAATTTTCGTAAGAGATTTCAGGTTTCAATAAAGCAATGCAATATTTTGCGGGAGAGAAGGAATTTGCTTTAGGACTAAATGAGAATGCAGTGCTTTGGATTTTTTTTTTTTTTTTTTTTTATTGCGGTATTGGCGGACTTTATATATATATATATATATATATATATATATTATATATATATATATATATATATATATATATATATATATATATATATATATATATATATATATATATATATATATATATATATATATATATATATATATATATATATATATATATATATATATATATATATATATATATATATATATATATATATTATATTTATATTTATTTATGTGTTTGTACATACAATATATAAGTGTGTACATACACGTCTCCCGCTCCCTCTCTCTGTTTCTCTCGCTCTCTCTCTATTCTCTTCTTTCTCTCTCCTCTCTCTCTCCTTTCCCCTCTCTCTCTCTCTCTCTTTCCTCTCTCTCCTCTCCTCTCTCTCTCCTCTCTCTCTCTCTTTGACCTCCCTCTATTAATCTATATTACATATATACATCTATATTTATATACATTTACCTATATATATTATATATATATATATTTATGTATGGAATCCTAATAAGTTTTGTTATCTAATTGTAGATGTGTATAATTGTATACACGCGCGCGTGCACCCCAAAAAAAAATAATAAATAAATAAATAAAAATAAGACATTTTTTGTGCAATAACGACCTAAAGTATAAAGCAACCTCAGCAGAAACATCAAGGTGACCGGTAATACTCCGCTCCGCCCACAGCACTCTCCATGCTCATCTTCAGGGAGGAGCTTTGTTTGCTCAAAGTATATAAGTAGATGGAATCGGTCTCAGTGCATCACACATTCTATCATCACACACCATGGCATTTAAGGTAAGATGCCAGAGGAAAGACGCGCTTTAAAAAGGAAAAAGTGAAGTGTCTTCTACTATGTGTTAGTCATCATAGTTACACTTCTTTTTATTATATATGTCAGTGAACTTTTCATCATAACATTCCTGATGTTGCAGGTATTTGCACTTGCCGCCCTTGTGGCCGTTGCCCTTGCCCGTCCTGAGAACATTCCGTCCTATGGCTATGGTGCCCCAACGCCCTCTTCAGGACCTGCCAAGTACGACTTCAACTACGCCGTCAACGACCCTCCATCTGGCAACGACTTCGGTCATCAGGAGGCCCGAGATGGCCCTAACACTCAGGGTTCCTACTACGTCCTCCTTCCCGACGGTCGTCTGCAGAAGGTCGCCTACACCGTCAACGGCGATTCTGGTTACGTGGCCGATGTCACCTACGAGGGTGAGGCCTCCACACCACGCCCCTATACACCCGCCCCTCAGTATGGGTAGATATTGTAAAATCTATGTATATAAATGATTTAATAAACTAGCATATTTATGGCGTTCTTTGATATCTTTATATGGAGATTATTAGTATGTATGTGTTTCTGTTTATGTTTTGTATTGAACTCTGAGCTAAAGAAAAAAAGGAGAAAATACTTTCGCTGAAAATATAAACGAAACTCGTGCAGTTCACAGGCTTTGTAAGCATGGAAATATAAGAATGATAATAATAATACGCAGTGAAACTGCCAGGGAGGAGAAGTGATAGCAAAAATACTATAGCGTTCTTTGATATCTTTACAGGGATAACTCAAAAGTGCGATTAGTGAAAGTGAAGTAGAAACGAAATAGTGGCATCGTTTAGAAACTAAAGTACTTAACACTGTATCTCAAAACACTATCAGACCAATCTTTATCACAGCCAAGGGCATCGAACAAGTTTGATGAAAGCATCACCTTCTCAGCCAATTCTGAAACTCGGCCTAAAAGGAAGCAAACCACAGGCATATAATCAGGTAGGAATTCGCAGAGAATCATGCAGAAAATTCGGGGTTTATGCGTGTTACAGTAGGACCATGATCCATGCGTGTTCTTGAAGGTGACATTTGTTGAATACCTTTGCCGTTTAATTAGCAGGCGATTCAAGTAACTGAAACCAGGATTGACGTAACAACTATGAACCGCAAAGCAAAGGAAGTAATAATATTTAAAAAAAAAAAATCTAGCAAAACGGAAGAATCTTTGAAATATAGGGATAGCTGGGGACCAGACATACTACCTTAAAATATTAAAATAACTAAAGAGGTCGGTATTGAGATCAATATCAATTATTGACAGTATCGTTTTATCTTATATCTACATTTTTTTCCAGAAGAAAAGAAACACTATTTCTACAGTGAAACTCTTGCCTAAATCGTGATTTTTATTTGTTTATTTATCTATTTATTTATTTTATTTTTTTTATTTTTATTTTTTTTATTTATTTTTTTTTTTTTTTTTTTTAAGATAGTTATAATTTAATGTACAAGAAATCCAGGACTCAAATAAGCAACATCGTCAAGATATAGAAAGGGGGTGACCGGCTTCGTGCAAGGTTGTACAAGCCTAAAGTAAGCCTGCAAGTACTGTATCGTATTTCCAAAAGGCTGAATAATCTTCGAAGAAGGCGGAAGTCGTTCGCAGATATTTTAACAGTGTAACAATAGTCTTTCTTGAAGGGTAAACCATTGTTTAAAAGCAAAGTAAAGGTAAAGGCTTTCTGAATGAGCGAAAACAGCAAATGGCAATTATATTTCGCGCAACTCGTGCCAGGGTCCAAGACAATAAATCAGTGGCATGCGGGAGAAATAAGATTAATAAAACTGCAGTGGAAGACAGAGCATTAGACTCCTTGTTTCCATGATCGGTCATTAATATGCTTCCTGTGTACATTGCAGCAGAGGCCCTTTCCAAATATATTTATATATTTCACAATGGATAATATATATATATATATATTATATATATATATATATATATATATATATATATATATATATATATAATATATATATATATATATATATATATATATATACATACATATGTAAATATTTATTCCACTTTCATACATGCACGTGTGTGTGTGTCTAAGAAAATGAGATTTCGTGGATGTGTCTACATTATGAGGCAGCAATAGTGCTTACAAATATCAAGGTGACCGGTAATGCACAACTCCGCCACAACACTCTTCATGCTCATCAGTAGGGAGGAGCTCTACTTGCTACACTACATAAACAGACGGAAACATTCTCCTGCATCAGATATTCTATCGTCACTCACCATGGCATTTAAGGTGAGATACAAAAGGACAGTTTCTCTTGTCAAGAATCAGTCATTTTGACTTTTCCTTGTGTAATTACAATAGTGTACTTATTACAATCCCGATATTACAGGTAATCGCTCTCGCCGCCCTTGTGGCCGTTGCCCTCGCCCGCCCTCAGAACGGCTATGGCGTCCCAACGCCCTCTTCAGCACCTGCCAAGTACGACTTCAACTACGCCGTCAACGACCCTCCATCTGGCAACGACTTCGGCCATCAGGAGGCCCGAGATGGCCCTAACACTCAGGGTTCCTACTACGTCCTCCTTCCGACGGTCGTCTGCAGAAGGTCGCCTACACTGTCAACGGAGACTCGGTTACGTGGCCGATGTCACCTACGAGGGTGAGGCCTCCACACCACGCCCCTATACACCCGCCCCTCAGTATGGTTAAATGCAGGATTTTATGACCTCTGTATATATAGTTTAATAAACTTGTACATCGATGACGTTGTTTTTTTATATATAGACATTTGTGTGAACGACGTAATGACTTTTTTCCATTTAGTATCAAGCAGGGAGCTTTAAAAACATTAAACATATAAATTAGATTTTCCTGCAGTTCACAGGCCTTAATAGGACCCTGCTTTTTGGGGGGACGACGGGCATAACCATATTCTGACATGGTGTTAATGTGTATACCCGTTGATATACAATACATATAGTGTGACTAAAAAGAAAGTAAAATTCATTTGCCTACTTAGCCTGTGAAAACCAATAAGAAGTTTTCGAGTATATATTATTTTCAGTTATTACCTTCCTTGAACTTATAGCTGAAACCCTTTCGCTTCCATACTTTTTTTTTATTCATTTGTGAAGTGTTTTGATATGTTTTTGTTTGGCAATATAGTAAAGTTAATAAATAGATTTAGTAGAAACTTATTTTTTTCATAACCGAAATACAATACCTCATTTTTCCTTTCAAATTCAAGATATATTTCAAAACAAATCTGTGGTTATGACTTACATCGTCTTTGTCAGACTGTTCACATAAAACAACCCTTTTCGCAAATCAAATCTATGATTCTTAACATCCGAACTATCTATATTTAGGCGGAGAGGAAAATATATATACATATATTACATATGCAATATGCTATGGAGACATAGCTACGCGTGTGTGTGTGTTTAACCTGAATACTCGCAGTCTAGCAAACTGGCCTACATTTCTTCACGACCCACGTGAAGGGGAGTCGTGAAGCCTTCCAAGAAGTCTGCGGGATGGGCCTGTTCCTCGTCACCAGTTTCTAAGATGTCTTCGTCGCACCGTCCTGCTGTCTTAGTCTTCACCAGATGCGTGACGGTGCAAGTGAAGTCACAACTGAAGGCTTTCTGAGAGAGAAAATGACAATTAAAGGAACCTCTCATAATTTCGTAAGAGATTTCAGGTTCAATAAAAGCATGCAATATTTTGCGGGAGAAGGAATTTGCTTTAGGACTAAATCAGAATGCAGTGCTTTGGATCATTTTCATTATAGTATGTTGTCGAACTTCTAACATGTATATTGTGTGTGTGTGTGTACATATATATATATATATATATATATATATATATATATATATATATATATATATATATATATATATATATATGCATGTATATATGTATGTATAAAAGTATATGTATATACATGTATATATACTGTATATATTGTGTGTATTTGTATGTATGTATATATATATATATATATATATATATATATATATATATATATATATATATATGTATGTATGTATATGCATATATAAGTGTGTGTGTGCGTATACCTCTCCCCTCTCTCTCACTCTCCTCTTTCTCCCCTCTCCTCTTCTCCTCTAGCTCTCTCTCCCTCCATCTCTCTCTCCTGTCTCGCTCTCTCTCCTTTCTCTCTCTCTTTCTCCTCTCTACTTTCCTCGCTCTTTCCTCTTCTCTCTCCTCTCTATCTCTCCCTCTCTCTCACCTATTTCTATCTATTAATCTATCGACATATATATATATATATATATATATATATATATATATATATATATATATATATATATATATATATATGTATGTATGTATGTATGTGTATAATCCTAACAAGCTTTGTCTTTACATGTAGATCTGTGTATAATTGTGTTTATACATGTGTGCGCACATAAAAATAAGACATTTTTTGTGCAATAACGACCGAAAGTATAAAGCAACCTCAGCAGAAACATCAAGGTGACCGGTAATACTCCGCTCCGCCCACAGCACTCTCCATGCTCATCTTCAGGGAGGAGCTTTGTTTGCTCAAAGTATATAAGTAGATGGAATCGGTCTCAGTGCATCACACATTCTATCATCACACACCATGGCATTTAAGGTAAGATGCCAGAGGAAAGACTCGCGCTTAAAAAGGAAAAAGTGAAGAGTGTCTTCTACTATGTGTTAGTCATCATAGTTACACTTCTTTTATTATATATGTCAGTGAACTTTTCGTCATAACATTCCTGATGTTGCAGGTATTTGCACTTGCCGCCCTTGTGGCCGTTGCCCTCGCCCGCCCTGAGAACGGCTATGGCGTCCCAACGCCTTCAGGACCTGCCAAGTACGACTTCAACTACGCCGTCAACGACCCTCCATCTGGCAACGACTTCGGCCATCAGGAGGCCAGAGATGGCCCTAACACTCAGGGTTCCTACTACGTCCTCCTTCCCGACGGTCGTCTGCAGAAGGTCACCTACACCGTCAACGGCGATTCTGGTTACGTAGCCGATGTCACCTACGAGGGTGAGGCCTCCACACCACGCCCCTATACACCCGCCCCTCAGTATGGGTAGATAGTTTTTATTTTTGGTAGCCATATTGTAAAATCTATGTATATAAATGATTTAATAAACTAGCATATTTATGGCGTTCTTTGATATCTTTATATGGAGATTATTGGTATGTATGTGTTTATGTTTCTTTTGTATTGCACTTTGAACTAAAAAAGAAAAAAATTCTTTCGCTGGAAATATAAACAGTTCACAGGCTATATAAGCATGGAAATATAAGAATGATAATAATAATACGGCATTGAAACTGCCAGGGAGGAGAGGTGGTAACAAATATATTAAGGCGTTCTTTGATATCTTTACAAGGATAACTGAAAAGTGTGATTAGTGGAAGTGAAATAGAAACGAAATAATGGCATCGTTTAGAAACTAAAGTACTTAACACTGTACTTCAAAACACTATCAGACCAAT